GTCTGACTAAGTCTAGGTGGACATGGTGATAAAGAACGTCGGGAACCGCAAAACTGCTGTTGGGGTAAGAATAGGTGTTCTAGAGGATTTTGTTCATTTGTAAGAACATGCACTGCCTAGTCCAAAATGTAATGTAAGCAGTTCCCATCGAGTGGGCGAAGTGCGTACCGATAAGTCTGCCTCCAGTGCGACACAAAAATGCGATAAAGAATGCAGTGTGAAAACACGACATTAGGGTAAGTGAGCGAAACAACAAAACGAGGAGTACCTTTGGACCAGTTTCAAAGTGAAAGTGAGAGTAAAACGTAAGGATTGCGCGTGCGCTCGCTAGTGATACGATGTGTCATAAACACAGACTTTATTTGTCTAAACCATATGCCAGAGTTGCTGAATATAAATAAAAGGCGCTTACCAGACAGAATATTGTCATTGAGGGCCTCCTTATTTTCTTGTATGAAATAAAATAGGTTCAAAAAATGTGTGGTGTAAAAAACGAAATGTTCTGGAACGTCCTCAGGATTTGGCACACGTACGCCACAACAGTTCAGAACACTCGGGTAGTAAAGCAATAAGGGGTAGTTTTTGATCAGAAAAAAATATTTTGCATATACTGTAAGTAAACTGTTAGTAGAATGGCAAAAATAAGGAGCGTTGATGCCATTCAGCATCATAATTTAAAAGAAGTATAACATTCGGCGTTTTGACAGCTTTGAGTACTTGATTTGTTGTGAGTTCGAGTCCCACACGGGGCGCCGAATCTTTCAGAAATGGTTCATGTCTGCACCTTATGTCCTATAAATAAACTGTTCAAGCCTCTGGCTTTGTTCAGTGTTTGAGGACACACTACAATCGCCTCCGCCTTTACTCCCTCATGCATTTCGCCGTCGTTTCCTCTTGTGCCGGTTCAGAGCTGGTGGTGGTGATCCTGGTAGTGGTGGTGGTAGATGTGCTCGTGGTCGTGGTCGTAAGAAATCATGTTGAGGTTACTGTCTCCAATCTCATTTAACCCCAGCCTTGACCAGCTTCTCAATGATTCATCAATAAACTTTCAATTTGACTCACCCAATTTTTTCAGTTTTCACCAGACAACCTGATTAGTCCTCGCCTGCCGCAGACACTTCAGCGAACCCCTGCGCCGCTGACCAGTCTAACATCGACAAACAGGTACGCGAGTGCATGTAGGGTTTCTAGAGGCCGGACGCAAGGGTCTGTCCTTTACACGCCCCGTCCCATAAAGTCAGCAATAAGTGTCCTTACTATCCCCTCTTGTCCAATTCCCCTGCCAACTCCCCCCGGCCCCTACCAGAACCCGAAGAGAACGACACCACCGGAGCAGAAAACGTTGGATTGCGCCGTTGTTGGTGGATTCGCCTACGGACCTACATATTGCAACCGGTTTGTTCGCTACGATCAGTGAGTGGATCCGCAGACTACTGTAGTCCGCGAACTTACTTATTATGGCATTTTTACAGCTATAAGTAGTTGATTTGGTGTGCGTTCGAGTCCTCCACGGGCCGCCGAATCTTTCAAAAATTGTTTAAACCTGCCAGCCGACCCATACCGACATGCCATCCGTAGCATACACAAGTGTGCAATGTTAAAGTTCGAAGATGCAGGCCGCCGTTCTTTCTCCATTTAACGGAACTGAGTCGTCATGCAGGGACATGCAGTAGGTGGTGTAACTCACAAGCTGCCCCTCTCAATGACTTACAGTAATAAAGCAATGGTTGTTCTTCACAGTTGGTCATTCTGCGATTTATCAAAGAATATAAGGTTTCCTACAAAAGGGAAAATTCCAAAGAAGTAAAAATCGGGTGTACTAGGTAAGATTCCATCTTTAATGCAGAGGTAATATATTCATGCAAAAAATGGATGAATAAAGCAGTAAAGCTTTATTATGTTAGAAAATTGCTCGTTTTGTAATATTTTCGCATACATATGCCTCCACATTACATGCAATGGAGTGAATGATGGTTACCGAACACACTTCGAGTATGTATTTCAATATTACATTTAAATATAATGGTCACGATAGGATGCAGCTTTTTAACAAGCCTAGTTGTGACAGCTTACAAAATGTGGCTACTTAAATGGTATGCATTTTTATTATTGATTCTGACTGCCTTTATAAATTTAAAGATATTTCCTGCAAAACATGCACGAAAGTATTATTTCTTATACACATGTGTGTTTGGGTTTTAAAAATGGTTTTAAATTGCTGCATAATGTTAAAGCCTACCGACTGCTAAATTTTAATGCAAGGTTTAAAATCCGCTTGTATCACTTATTCGTCATGTGTTCCTGCAGAAGCGGAGAAATTGGCATACTTAATTAAGCGATCTGATGCTTTATCAAAATTTGTTCTTAAACGACCGTAACAACCAGACGGTCTCAAAGCGAACATTCAATTACTTTTTGCCTTATGACGCAAATGAAACAAGTAATACTTGTTAGTTTTTGTGTGAAAAATAGTTCAGGTAAGCAATGTACACGACAGCAAATAGCACGACAGAAATCATCCACCATACCGATGTACGCGTAGTATTGATTCGCTTTCGCTTATTAGCATTGACGCAGGTAGTGTTACCGATCATCATTAAGTCTATTCTGATATTACTGCAGTCATGATATGATGAGGACTTTTTAACGATATTCATTCTGTTCGCATTTCGTTGATGGTTTATCTTTGACGATGGACTCCCGCAAGACCCGATAGCTCAGGTGAATAAAGTTACGATTCCGGTGAACGCTATGACTTCTTCTAGATTGAATCAGGTCAAGAAATGGGACAGTAAGCTAGCAGAGGCGTCAACACTTTAAGGAGATTTGTCCGTCACTTTAAGTTTAACAGGAAGGTAGTGACCAGCAGCGACTAATCGAACATGGATTTCTGGGTAGGCCCTTCTTTTGCTTATCCAGGACAATTGATTCCTCTGCCTATTTTGTTGCAGACACGAGAGCGCGTGGCATGTACGGTGTTGGACTTTAGTCTACTTTTGGATATTTACTAACTGGTACACGTATATCTACCACGTTGACAATAGAACCCAAAATTCCAGGCAAAACGGAATTTTAATATATGTGCTAACCGCCCCTCGTTTCATGTTCCAAACCATTAATAATTGTTCTTCAATGAAGCGCGTGCAGTTTGTAGTCAAGGTAACATAAGTTTATGCACAATAACAGCCTGTGTTCAAGATATTTAGGAAATTCAAGAAATGTAATTAAACCCGCCAACGTTTCTCAAGTAAACATATTTTCGGAAGGGTTGGTGGCGAGCATACAGCAGTCGCCAAAGTCCATGCAACTTTCATGAATAAATTTGACTTGGTACTTAAGCGTATATTTGGTAGCACTATTTTGGTTCATTCAGTTTACTGAATTCTGCGAAACCATTTTAGTTAGCTAATTTATCATTTTAGTTAGGCTTTTTAAAAGAAATGGCAGTAGTTATTTGGTAATGGTCTCATATCGAAGACATTTCCTATGCTATTACGAAAGAGAGAACCAAACTGCATGTTATCGTTGATTAAACTACTAAGGGTTTTCCTAAATAAGTAAAATATGAATACGATATATGTCTTTTTTTTAATTCGAAAGATTATATCAGAAAGTGGAATGTATCCACTTATACAGAAAGCAATCCATTATAAAGAGAAAAGAAAGTTATTTTATGTCCAGTCAATTCGAATTGCTTATCCTCAGTCAGCTTGAATAATTTCTCTAAATTCTAAAATTTCATTGTAACATTACTTTGGAAAAAATTAAATATACACAGAAGTTCGTCAGCCTAATAGCTAAAAAAACACTCTCTAAGAGGTGAACCGCTTTATGGAAAGCTATTTCATTAATCCTAGGAATAGTGGTTTCACAACTCCACTGCATTATTGATTTTCCTACGATTTAAAATGTTTATTGTTAGTTGTTTTTGCATTCATTTATTCCTATGTCTGAAGACGAAGCAAGGAAACCAGCTTCGAAAATTCACAAAATAAAAATTATCCTTCCCGAAGAACTACTTGAACCTCAAAATGTGGTTTTCTGTTTTGGGGCATTTCTACATATCAGAAACGTTGCCACATTCAGTAAGACTAATATCGGCAAACACTTTATTTCGGTAAATGCTCTTGATCTCTATCTTATTAAAAAGGTGTTGGTGTAAACGATGAACAGTTAGAGAATGTATAAGTGTATCAATTAAGACAGTGAAAGGAAAGCAAATGATGACACACTTGTTTCGATTAGATTCAATAAAAGCGTATCCAGTAACGGTAAAAGTTACAGAATATTTTGACCAAAGAAAGGATCTTTCTGTATGCAAAAATTGGTTGCACCAAGTTTTTTTTATTTCAAAACAAAATCTTAATATATTGTTATAATTTATAGCTGTTTTTACGTCTCTAGAGCCACGCGATTATGGAGAAAATTTTATTTTTCTTAACAAACACTCAGTAATTACTATAGTTATTTTTAGTACTTATTATGACTGTTGTTGTTCATTGTGATCTCATAATTTTTCTAAATGTACTCACACTGGTATTCAAGTAATGATCAACCTTATACAAAATTTTAAAAGTTGCATGGTCTTTGTCGACTGCTGTACGCATATTTTTGATAAATTCTCATCGGCCAATCATCGCAGATTCATCCATGACTACACGATGGAAAGAGAAACCAAACCAACCAGACCCACCGTGGAACAGAAGACGACGTTCCTCAAAATCCCCTTTCAAAGGGATGCCACAAGTTAACTCCTAAGCAAGCGTCTTATTTAAGCTGTGTCAGGAACCCTCCCAGCAGCGAAAGTTCGTGTGTTATTCTCAACAAACAGAGTAACGCAAGGCGAAGGTAAGAATAGGCTTCCAGCTCAGACCACTTCAATGGGCATTTACTTGTTCCTACGGAGCAGTGATACTGATCGCA